TCCCGGACGCAACACCAAGTTCCCGTAAAGGTCACGTGCGAACTTGCGAAAGAGTGTTCAACGCCCGGTATATAACCGAAGCCCCATCCAGCCCTGTGCCACCCGGGGGGTTCCTGGGGTCTGAGATGGCTGACATTTTGGTGAGCGGAGGCAGCTCTCCGCTCACCTCCCGCGGCACGCGAAAACGGAGCTGTTTTGGGGCTGTTTTGCTCGGTTCGGTGAGCGGTCGCTTTGCAACGCTGCAGCTTGTTCGAACTTACATATTTACAAGCAAAATGACCCAAAACCATAAGAAAACATGCTGTTAAGCAGCTGTACATGCAGGTGTGAGCGACGAACGGTTCGTTGAACGGAGTTGTTGCGGGTGCGCGACGACCGTTCGTGACAGTACTGTACCAAGCTAAGCTCGATACGGTACGAAATTATGAACATTGGTTTCAACTGTCTTACTTGGAGATCACTCTAACAAGGATTCCTCATTCCTCAAAGAAAGGAAAAAATAAAATTACAGTTCTGAATGGACAGCCACTTAATGATACTGTGCCAGCCATTCATGACAGATAACAAACACTTCTTGCATTTATTAACTTTTGTTTCTGAAGACAGCAGAATTATATGTATTATTTGTTTTCTTTTTCCCCTACAAGTTCTATAATCGATCAGATCTGAGAATTTTCTTCTGGTATATCATCAGTTTTGACACAAGAACTTCCGAGCTAGATGAGTTGTTGCAATTAGTGGATTCATACCCTTTTCTCAGTTGTTTCCTACTAAAAGAACATAAACCTTGCGAATGCAGGTGGCCTAGCGAGGGTCAATATACGTAGTGTTACCTCTAATATTTAGAAAGGATATTTGCAGGACGTAAACCCTGGTCTCCCAAGACACAAAGGAGGAACCTTATTGTTGTACCAAGGTCTGCCCTCGGCTACGACCTACTACTCTTTCTAATAGCATCAACTTGACCATCATTGACTTATTAGGACTAGTATCAGCTGCCTGAAAATGGAGACCATTCTAGCAAGGATTCCCAAAAGAAACTAGGATATAGACTTCTGTCTAAGCAACCACTGATGATACTATATCAGCCATTCATGACGGACAATAAACATTTATGTGGACAGCATAATTATATGTATTGCTTCTTTTCTTTTTTTTTCACTATAAGTTTATAATGGATCAGATCTGAGAATTTTCCTCTGGGATATCATTAATTTTGACACAAAGTTCCAAGATATCAAGTCACTACTTCTCTAGATGCGTTTTTGTAATTTCCGGACTCCTGCATGTGGACTAAATATAAATTACTCAGCAAGTCAACCTAACATACGTTTGACTAGGTGTCTTCATTAGGACGCAGTAATAGGTAATTATATTGTGATAAACAAGGAAATTTAAAAGCATTATTTTGTGATAAACAAGGTGTCTTCACAGGGGAGGTATTTAAAAGCATTATTTTGTGATAAACAAGGAAATTATACTATAGTTTCCATCTCCAGCCAAATTTCTTGATTAAGAACAAAAGAAACCCAGTAAAATCAAATAGGTTTTCTCTTTCCCGATAAATCAAACGATAATGAAATTATTTAGGGTTTCCGATCATTCAAGGAGGAGGAGGAACAAGAGGAAGAGGAAGAGCATCACCTGAACGGTCTTCTCGATGAGATCCTTCCGATGCTGGGGATTGGAGACATGGCAGACGACCCCCATCGCTTCGATCCCCTTCGAACGGAGCATTTCCACGGCCTCATCGACGTTCTTCTGCTCGCCCCGCCAAGACAAGATTCACATAACCATCAAGAACCAAAACTTTAGTGAGAGATAGAGAGAGGAAGGGAGACGGAGCGGACCTGCTTCCGGGAGGAGACGACGACGGCAGCGCCTTCGAGGCCCAAGCGCTGGGCGATGGCGAAGCCGATGCCCTGGGTGGAGGCCGTCACGATCGCCACTTTGCCCTCTAATCTCCCCTTCGCATCCATGTCGCTCCAGTGGTGCCTCGATACGGTACAGGCGAAGCTAATAAATGCACCCCAAGGTTGCGCATGTCCCTACCAAGTCGTAATTTTTATAGTTATCTTTATATATATTTATATATATATATAATATACTAAGTAAAAAAAAAGTGTCTATATATGCTTAAAAATATCATTCTATTATATATATTAGTAAATAAAGTGTCATCGGAGAACACAATTTTGTGAGAGATTCGAGGCCAATATTCTAACAAATATATCTCAGGCTCTGATGGTGCCTACCTCCAGTCCACTAATCAAATAATAGGTGAAATCAAGGGATGCCAAAATGAAACATGAGATCAAGTGTCCAGTCCTATGTTACATGTACAACAAGACCTGATCCATAAATATTCTTTTCGGTACAATTGACACCCCATGGAGGACAAATATTACCAAGAATGAAAAACCATAAAAATCGTGAGCTCCAACGTAACCAGTTCCTCATGGAGAAGCACATGCTTGTCACCAACTTTTGCGGCTCCAAAGAGTCGATCTTCTATGTCAAAGGGGAAGTACCATCAGTCATATGGATTTCTAAACCTATTTAAGAGTTCTGGGATGTCGTATGCCAGCATATCATCCACAGCCTGTATCATTTTGTGCCTCAGCTTTTCAAACTTGTCGATGTTGTATCCATTCAACACCTCTCTGAAGTGCTCCACGTCAGGGAAGTCCCCTGGTGGCAAATGAAACTCCTTCTGAACCTGCTCAATACACCAGCATTTTTTACTACAAGAATCTCAACAGCTCGATGTAGATATGTCTTAGGTGGTAAAAGAACGATCTTACAGAGAATGACACAGGACAGCTCACCTTTACAAACTCATCTTCGAGGTTGTCGACGAGCCTCTGCTGAGCCTTGGCCTTGCCCATCATTGATGGCATCTCTTTCTTCAGATGACTAATTATGTAGGCATGAATCTTAGCTGCTCTTGCACGCTTAACGAATTCGTTGATCTAAAACAGGACATAGTACATAATGAACAAGAAAGAGTAGGTAACAGCAGAGATGTTCTGAACATTTCGGTGACTTTGCTTACACGGCGGTCACAAGCTTTCTTTGGTATGTCTTTAAGATCAGAAAGCAGATCATCTTGCTCTCTCACAAACAACTCCTTTCCGATTGGACCGCTTGCTGCTTCATTTACTGGCTTGTCATTGAATGACCTGTACATTTGAAACAGAAAAGTTATGATAAGACAATAATCTTGAATGCTGATAAACTTGATGTAATCATCTTGCAGTTTGGAGCTAAAATATGCACCCTCATATCATGGAGGACCATCAAATTCTCAAAAATGTAAGAGTTGTGCCTGAACTACGTTGTATTGAGAGATTACCCAATATAAACTCGCATAACTTCAGGCGTATTAAGAACTTTTCCAAGAGACCACAACAATGCCCCGTAGACTCTCATAAGCTGATGTATGAGGCAAAAAAACATGTTCATCAAACTTTGGTAGCATGATAAAAATTTATTTGGAAATGGCTAAAATATTAAGAGGTTACATGCTGATGAAAGATTGCAGAGGTCATATCATATAGCTAGAATTTTCACCTGTTGAGTGTCAACTTGGTCTGCCTTGTTCAGTACTACACGTATTTTGTCATCATGGCCATGCAGAGATCCAATAACACGCTTAAACTCATCGCTGATATCAAGTTTATAAGGATCGAACAGGAGAAGGATAAGGTCACACTTTGCTGCAAACCAAGATGTCACCCCAGTGAAGTCATAACTGCGCTGCGTTCGTTGTTTCTCTCCAGATAAGACCCCAGGAGTATCAATGAAATTAATGTGCTCCAGAAGCTTCACAAACAAAAAGTTTAGTTTGTTTGTGAATCACGATGGCAGGAACAGATTTCCATATTAAGACTAAAGATAAAATCATACTGGATGTGGCATCTGAGAACACTCAAACTTTGATAGAAAGCCGGTTCCATATGCAGTCAGACCGTGGTAAGGCATATGTGCTTGAACAGCAATAGTATTTCCAGGAATACTCCTCTCATCTGGCCCTGACTGCATAATAGCATAAAACTAGCAAATAAAACCATGTTCTAAAAGATCTAAAGTGCCATTGTCACCATATAATACAAAGATTTCAGGACAGAAGAATGTGAGAGCTGTCGATAAGGAAACCAGAAGACATATCCATATCTGATCAGCACAACCTTATATTCTACAGGACTTGCTAAATGCTTTATGAGACTGTCCTAAGATCATGGCTGAATGATCATGATCTCATGATCACCAATCCATTCAGCATTAGATGTCTGTATTGCTGGGGATTGAAGCATTTACTTCTTAGTACATGCTAACAAGTGTAAAGATCCAATTCAGCAGAAGAAAAGAACAGGATGCCCTTTAACAACAACCAAAAAGAACCAAATAAATGATAAAATAAGACATAAAATAAGAGGAAAACAATCACAAGCAAGCCTCATACCTAGCTAGTATGGAATTTAACTTGCAGAACAAAGATGAAATTGCATATTCATCCCTTTACAAAAACTGCAAATTAATATCTAGCCATATATGCCCCTGGAACTATTGAAAGAAAATATCTCTTTGCAGGGGTATATATATGATAACCCTGTCAACATATATTCCTTTAGGAATTAAATCTAAATGCCTTATGGTTTTGGAGGGTATCTAAGATACTTGCAACTTTTAAGTAAATATAAATCTTTGAAACTTGGCTTTGGTATATATGTGATTGTCCCAAACCACAAGGAAAAGAGCAAAAGAAGCACCAACTTACTGTAACAACAACGAATCTATCAGTTGTAGGTTCTGGTCCAATATGAGCACCTGTGAGAATTAAGATCAATGGAAATGAATTCGTAATACTGTTGCTAAAATAAAATTAATAATGAGAATGTATCTCTCAATGCACCTGGATAACTAGATTGAAGTAGATGTTTAATGAATGTTGTCTTTCCGGTAGAATATTGACCCAATAGCATAACCATGGGCTTGGCATCAAAATCACTATTTGTCTACAGAAGAAAAATCATTTGTCAGGTCAACATTAGAGCATGAAGTCTTTTACTATTTTGTCTAAATTCAGTGAAGAAGATCTCCTAAATGTGGTCGAAGTTTAATATCTGCCAAAATCTGTGACAGAAGAGATTCTGGAATTAAACCTTACCAGCAAAGGAGAAACAAACTCATTGAATTGATATGCAACTTCCAAAGGCTTCAGTTTCTCGATATATAATTTCTTCAAACCATCAATAATAGAGGTAACTGAACTTAGAGGGACCTAGAAACAAATACGATTGCACGATTGTCATCAGTAGAACAAAATAGATGTCAGACTAGTGTACAACAAGTTTGACCCTAAAAGATACCTTCTTCGATGCTTTTGAGTTAAACCACGCAGCTGATGCTGGTAATAGGTGCTGTGGAGATGCTGAAACATCATCAGAAATTTCAGATAGCTAAAGCAATACGCACCAGAAATTTTTGAGAATTCTAAAATAAAGATCCCTACCATCTAAACGATGATCACTTTTCTTTGCCGAGCGCTTAGATTTCTACAAAATGGTCATTGCAATCGGTTAGTGTCTGATATTCACATTACAAAATTTCAAGTTAGAAGGCTAATAACTGACGTACAGCTAGCAGAGCATCCAAACCTTCCATCACTGGAAGTTTTAAGTTCTCCAAGTCTGTTGTGAGAAGTGATGCATACAAACAACAATATCAGTGTCTATTACAAAATGTAACAGAGCTAAAAGCTTTTTGGTCCACAGTCTAACCTGCATGACTCAGTACATCTGGAGTAATCTCATATCCTGCCTGAGCCAGTGCAACAAGCTGTCCATTTGCAAAGGAAAATTAGCAACTGCCTAATATGTTCTCTAGTATAAAGACATCCAAGGCAAAACCTGCATGGCACTGATGAAATCTAGGAGATCAAGAAAACCCTGCCGCTTAGAGTCAGCAATGGCCCAAACCTTCAGAGAAAATTTAGAATGTCAATGAAAAGCACATGTAGCCTAACTACATGGGACAGATGAAAATGATTATACCACGCTACGATGTGAATACAAGAAAAATATGCTTTGATTAACAAAAAGAAAAGTGCCACACGCTAATTGCTAATGAGTTACTTTACTATTTGGTTTACATTTTAAACAATATAAGGACAAAATGAAATCCAACATTAACATCAAGATCAATTGTTTATGTCAACAGATGGTATATATGTTGATAAATAATATGCTGTTACATAGAACCAACTCATTCAGTATTTAGTCAACCTAATAATTGATTTGTAGCCAACAATGAAAGCAGCCGTCAAAGCAATCTAGGATGCTGACATACTATTTAGCATTTTCCTGTTTGTGGTCAAATGCCACTTTTAGATTTAGACTAACATTTGCAACACAGGCAAAGTGGTTAATGGTGTATGATTATAGGCAAAAAACAAGGATTTATTGAAGACACATGTTGGTGCTAAAATTTAGATCACAAGATGCCAAAACGTCATGCTTTAGAAAGCCAGAAAAAAAAAATCAACAAGCTTTCATAACAAGGTTCCCAAAAATTGTAGGGAAGAATATGAAAGACTCAAGAAGTCAGAAGATTTAATAAGAATAATTCATCAGTAAGGTTGAGCCTTATTGAAAGATTAGGATAAGACATAATGTTAATAAAAAAGAAACCATCAAGAAAAATTGGACCAGTAATAGCAAATAAGTACGATAAAGTTTACAGTTAAACTACTATCTATATTCATGGACAAGATTCCTAGATTGCTAAAAGTTAGTTAGTAATTATTCTTATTTAAGTAAATATCATCAAGTGTTTTAACTTTTGGCCATCCTGAAACTAAAACCAGATAATCAATCTTGCTTTCATCTATACATGAAGTCATTTCTTTTCTCTTTTTTTTTTAGTTTGCAGACACAAAGAATTTCGGATCTACTGCTGGGCTTTATGGAAGACCTTCAAACCATTCATGGACTACATACATGTAACTCAGCTTGCA